AGAAACAGTAGACACGTGGGCTCACACAAAGAAACATGCAAAGCCCACAAAAGGACATGCAGACACACACACTCCTGGGTACGGTTTCCTCTGAACTGCTACAAACAGGCTGTAACTTTTCTCTGTGGGCCTGTCTGGAGGCTCAGAGCTGGACACTGTCAGAGGAAGTGGAACTTTGAGGCCAACTCAGACTAATCCCAGGAGAGACGAGTGTGGGCCCTGAGCTTCTCTGGCCTCAGAGATGGCACCGAGGCTGGCTGCTGCACAGCCCCGGCCTGTGGGGAGCTCCAGGCCACCCGGGGCCCCCTGGCTCAGGCCCAGCCTGACTCACCTAGGCTCTGTATCAGTAGGTCTGGGGTGACACATTTGTATTTCTCACAGGGCCTTAGGTCAGTGGTTCTCAACCTTCTGGCCCTTTAAATACAGTTCCTCAGGTTGTGACCCAACCATAAAATTATCTGGTTGCTACTTCATAACTGTAATGTTGCTACTGTTATGAATCGCAATGTAAATATCTGATATGCAGGACGGAAGGTCTTAGGTGACCCCTGTGAAAGGGTCGTTCGACCGCCAAAGGGGTCGCGACCCACAGGTTGAGAACCGCTGCCCTAGGTGATGCTGATGCTGATGCTGATGGTCCAGGTACCACACTTTGAGCACCTGTGTGCAAGGCTGCATGCAAGCTATCAGAGCAAACAAGGGTTCTGTCTGTCCCTTTTACCAGTGCCTTCCTAGCAAGTAAGCAGTGACTATTCATCAATCAATAAATAAATGAATGGATTTCACAGGAAGAGCCTCAATTTTTCTTTATATAACACAGGTAGTCTCTCGTGTCCTCCACCATTGATATTGCATGACTAGATCCCTGGGGCAAGGGAAAGACATACTCAGAGCCAGGCCCTGTATTTGTGGTGCCCACTATGGTGCTGGAGCTGTGGGGCCCTCTGGGGTTGTGGCCCTTGAGGAGGAAGTCACTGGATCAGACCTTCAGGACCCAGACCAGAGCTGCCTCCCTTTCATCTTGGTGGCCTCAGGTACTCTCTCCCTCTGGGGAAGGGATCTCCTCGGGAACACTAGTTCCCCAGCCAGTACTTGTCATCTGAAGGGAGTGTAAGGAAGCGACACCCCTGGCTCTCCTGCCCCTCCAAGACCCACCTTCATGCTGCCAAGACCAACATGCCTAATGGGATTTGGGAGCAATAGAGGAATGAAGAGTCAGCCTCAGATGCTCCCTTTTCTAGTATGTCCCCAAAACACAGCAGATAGTTTATTCTGAAATACAGAAGAGTGTATCCTGTGCAGAGTATCTCAGAGAGGCTAGGAGGGATCCCTTCTCTGTGCCTCTGACTCCATAGAGGTCACATGGCAGTGACTACGGCCCCAGAGCACAGCTGGGTGACCTGACCAATTCGGGCTTGAAGATCTTTACCCCTAGGCTAAGGAGCAAGAGCTATCCTCCTAGATTCCTCATTCCTTGTGTTTTTTCATCCATCCTTTCTCAGCAGGGGCCAGGGACACTGAGGGGACACAGAAAACCCACAAAGCAGACCGCCTGGTCTAGTCTAAGGAAAGTTCAGCCATGGGTAACAATAAACCCAAGAAGAAAAACAACAAAGAAAAGAAAAATAAAAGTTTATCCCAGGGAGTCAGGATCCGAGTGTAGCATCACCTTTATTGTTACATGGTCTCCTCTGGTCCCAGGCTTGGGGTTACCCATCAGGACAGATCATGGCTCAAGCTGCCAACCAACAAACCTTGATGAGCAGCCGCCTGCCCTGGGAGAAGCAAGGGACTTTAGGGATATTCTGACTCCACTCCAATGGGAGTTTACAATCTAGCTGGGCAGGTAAGACAGACAACAGACACACCTGAAAAATAAAATAGTTCAAGAGATGTTGCAAGGCACTTGCCAAATGGATGGTGTGGATGATGCAGTGCGTTCTAGGGAGTCAGCGCAGGCTTCTGAGAGTAGGAACAAGCAGAAAAGGCTCCAGGGAAGAGGTCTTGAAAGATGGGTTGGGTTTGAGATACTGGGAGTAGCGGAGAAGTGGTCCAGGGGGAAATGGACAGAGGCTTGGAGGCAGGGATGGCTAAGGCATGTCCTGGGGAACACCCAAGATGTGCCCTGGTTGTGAGACTGGTCTGGCTGGAACAGAGGATGCTTATGGGAGAGGAGTCGGCTGTGAGGCTGCAGAGGTGTCTGAGACGCAGGTGTGGGTCCTGTGATGACATGCAAAGGACATCGCCTCTGCAGCAGGGGGCCTCGGACTATCTTTGGAGCATTGCAAACAAGAGCACGGAAATGGTGACTGCTGGGAAAGGAGGAGCCGCGTTGTCAGGGCAGGAGGAGGCAAGGATGTTTCAGCCGCGCTTCCTTTAAAAGTAGGCGCTCTTTACTTCAGCATAGTTCCCGCCTTTCGCTCCAACAGAGGCACCTCCTTGGTCTCCATAACCGCCCAGACCCCGCGGCTCTGGGAATACATCACAAGGTCCATAGCTAGCATCACCCTCTCCGCACTGTGTATAAGCAGCTGGGCCGCAGCTGGGGGCCTCCTTGTCTAGGCGGCCTGGGTAGGACTCATGACAGCCGAGGTCTCCGGAGCCTGGCATTGGATTTGGGCCTGAGCAGGGGCTGGGGCAGCGCTGAGGCTGCACACAGGGCTCTGGGCTTGAGCAGCGTGGCGGGAGGGGAATTGGCTCCGGACAAGGCTCTGGAAACTCACACCGCGTTGGGACAGATCGTGGGGCTGGACGCGGGGCTGGACTTGGTTCCGGACACAGGCAGGGCTCGGGAAAGCACCGGGGTGGAGAACACCAGCTGCGCTCCGGGCTCGCGCACGGCGCTGGGCGTGATGGCCGCGGGGCAGGACGTGGGCCCCGTGGCAGTGACGGCTCTGGACATTGGTCAAAACTCCGGGGTGGGCAGAAGCTTGGGAGTGGACGCGGCTCGGGACGTGGTCTCAGCTCCGGGCAGGAGGACCCCCAGGAGGGTCGTGGAGCACAACTCTCAGAGCAGCGTCCTATGGGAGGGATCTGAACGGGACACCGCTGCGGGGGCACCTGCCTGGGGCAGGAGGGCGAGGAAATCTCTATGCGGCACCTGGGCCCACGTCGCTGAGAGCAGCTGGAAGTGGGACGTTGAGCGCCGCCGCTGTGATAGATGGGCTCAGAGCGGCGGGGTGGGGTGCAGTAGTTGTAGGACCCCGAAGCACATCTTGATGGCATGCAGCTGCTGTAGTAGGGCTCTGAACGCCGTGGAGGGGAGCAGCTGCGGTAGGAAGGCCGCATCTGGCAAGGTGGGGAGTAGCTCTGGTAAGAAGGCCGCATCTGGCGGGGTGGGGAGCAGCTGCGGTAGGAAGGCCGCATCATCTGGCGTGGAGGGAGGCATCTGCTGGTGCTCCTAGCGCGACGCTGCATGGGGAAGCCCCCGTAAGAGCCCTGGCTCTGGCATGGGGGTGCATAAGTGCGACATGAAGCCCGGGACTGACGCTGGGGGGCGCAGCTGCCGAAGGAGCCCTGATATTGGCACTGGGTGGAGAATCTTCCTTGAGTCTGGCATGCTGAGGGGTACGCTACATACCTCTGGACAGGCTGGGGAGCTGGGTAGGGTACATAGGTTTGGACGGGGCATTCCACGTAGCGAGTTTCTGTATAACAAGCTGGAGCACATTCTACAAAGCAGGTCTGAACAGGGCATGGGGCTCCACACGGCACGTAGCAAACCTCAGGCTGGCATGCAGCCTGGCTGATCACCTGCGTGGTCTGGGACTGGCCTGGAGCCTGACCCTTCACGCTGGCGGTCTGAGCCTGGCCTGAAGCCTGGCTGCTCACCTGAATGGTCTGGGACTGGCAGGGAGCTTGGCCCTTCACCTGGGAAACTTGAACTGGGCATGGTGCAGGGCACTCCATGATTTGCATCCCACAAGGGGCTTGAACTACCACCTGGCCCTGGGGAGAAGGGTACGGGGAGGGGAAGAAGGAGGAACCCTTCACACAGCACTGGGGGAGCGGCAGGCAACACGGAATCTGTTGCTGGTCACACATGGTTCCTGTGCAGACGTGTGAGCAGGACCTGAGGGGTAGAAAGACCAGCTTTAAGAGGGTGGGATTTGGGGAGGAGGGCCCAAGACCAAGGGAAGACACCCTGCTTCCTCCCTGGCCTTTCTTCCCCAACCCTCGACCTTCGTTCCAGAATACTTGCTGAGTTGTCTGGACCTAAGATTACTCACTGTTGCCCAAAGCTGCTGCCTTGGATCTGCTGCAAGACCTGACGGAGGACAGCTTCAAGGGCACAGCTTCAAGGGCACAGCCAGGGTTGCAGGTTGCTGGCCTCTTTCACTGGAGGCTGGGCATACCAGTGTCCACCACAGGAGGGCGCTAACAACAGGAAGTTTCCCATCACCTCCTGGTTTCCTAAGTGGTGGGAGGGAGCTCTACAGAAGTGGAGGCCACCCATGCTCCCAGGCTGTCGTCCAAAGTGGGGACTCCCCAACCAGAGGAGCTTAAACTACTCAGACACATGTACTGTCCACACATGAAAAAAATGTGTATGTAAGAACAAGCACTCAGGCACCATCTGTGCTCCAAGTATCCACTGGAGAGTAAAGAATTCAGTTAGTCATTGGGCAGCTCAATCCCAACATAAAATGTTTGTTTCTCTATAGTCAATTCTTTTTAGGTGAACTTGTTTAAACTGGCCCTCATGGGCATCGGTAAAAGACGTACATACAAAACACCAGCCTCGGAAAGGCTCAGGACCAACATGACAACTTGCCCAGCCGGGTTGCTGTCCTTACTCACCTGCCAGCTTCAGAAAGGGCCACTCTGCAGCCCCTCTGAGAGGCAGGGTGGAGTTACTTAAGAGGGGGTAACCCACAAAGTGCCAGGTTCCTGATTATGAGACTGACATTCAGCCACACTTAAAGCCCACGCAGCAGGAGCATCACAAATGTGAGGTGGGGGACACAGGCATAGCACCCAACACCATATCCAGAGGGCAGTCCCCCCACCCTCCCCAAGTCCAGCTGTTCAGGTACAGGCAGCCCAGTGACCAGCATAGCAGGGAGGCTGGTTTGATAGCTCATCCAACAAAACACTTCTCAATAAGCTCCTGAAATACTGAAAATACTTTTCGTGAAGGGCAAAGCCTTCCATTCTCCATGTATAGAGAATATCTAAACATGCCCTTGGGGAAGGTAACCCTTCTACTCAACAAAACACTTCTCAATAAGCTCCTGAAATACTGAAAATACTTTTCATGAAGGGCAAAGCCTTCCGTTCTCCATGTATAGAGAATATCTAAACACACATGCCCTTGGGGAAGGTAACCCTTCTACACCCAACTCTGCTCACGGGGTGCAATTACTAATGCACCTTTTCTAGGGAGAGAGGTCCTGAAGAGAAAAAATGGTACCTGAGGATGAGACCAGTTATTGAAGGGGCAAATACGCTTACTTCAGTGCCCTATTTCTTCACACAGACTCCACAGACACCCTTCTTTTGTTCCCTGAAAGTCCACCAGAGTGTTCTCCTCCGGCTGATAGACCAGTCCTCCTTTGCTCCAAGCTTCCCCCCTCACTATGTCTCACCCTATGAATCTGAACACCACCTAAGCATTAGCTTCATCCAACCCAGGACCCTGCCCCTAGACTTACCTTCTTCAAGGCAAGCAGTCATTCAGACTGAGGCATCTGGACAGAAGGCTGTCTTTATATAAAGGGTTCCGGGTCTGGCTTAGACCATGAGACAATTGGTTGGCATCTGCCTGGCTCATCACCCAGGTTGGCATTCCAGTAGCCAGTCCCCTCCCTGTGTGCCTGTCCTTGCAGTCACCTACAGGGTGTGGGAGTGTCTCACCTCAGTGATGAAGCCTCTGGACTACAGAGGAGCAGATTCTTGTTCTCTTCCTCCTTTCTCACCCTGTCTGTTTCTCCCTCGCCCTTAGAAGAGCTGGTGGTGGGGATGAAGAGGGTTGACAAAGGGACCTGTCCTCCTGAATGATGACTCCAGGCCCCTACCTTCTTCCTTGTCTGACACTCTCACCAAATGGATATCAAAGAAAAGCTCCCTAACCGGAAGCAGCTAAAATCACCACAAAGGTACAGAATGAAGAGAACGTTGGGTTTGAGATGAATCTGACATCCCAGGTTGGCTACTTACAGTTGTGTGCCCTTTGTAACTGACTTAAGTTTGACTCAATTATCTGCAAAATGGAGATATTAACTCTTCTTTGCTGAGCTATTGTGAGGATTAAGGCAACTATTTTATGCAAAAGTATCCGATCAATAATGATATTCACAATATCCAACATCCACTCAGAGTAACTGGGGACCAAGCAGCAGACATAGCTGGACTGATGGCTGCCTGTGGTATCCCAGTCCTGGGCTGAACCACCTGATGTCATCACAGAAGGTGCACAGCTAATGCTATGGAGTCGTCCTTCAAGAGAGCAGTGCAGTGCAGGACAGAAATAACACACTGGCATCTTGTGAGCCAGATGCAGCCAAGATGCCTATCTTCTTATCTTTCGCCTAAATCATTTTTGCTCACATAGTGTTTTAAGTAACCATGGATACTTACAAACCGAGAGTTTTGTTTTGTTCTTTAAGATCACAGACATCTAGTTTTCTCTCAAAATTAAAAGATCAGGCATAGGTGGGCCCACCTAACTTCAACCTAATTAACATTTGCCCCTCTTAGGTAGGTCATATACTTTGATATTCTGTAATTCTCCATCTTTTTTATTACTGTATCCACAATGCAATGCAAAGGGCAAACTTCCTTTTATTATTTTACCTGTATTCTTATTTTTCTTTGGTGAAATTAAAAGAGAAGTGACATAATCCTTCCACCTGGATAACTTCATTTTTTTTATGTAACTGTTTAGCCCCTATCAGCATTTAAAATTCTAGCCAAGCTTGTGAGCAGGGACTTTAGATTTATAGAGGTTTGGGGTTGAATCTGAGCTCTAGTACTTGCTAATGGGGTGAAAGCTACTTAAACTTCATGAGCTTAGATTCCTTACTTATAAGACAAAAAGAAGAAAAATAAGGAGGAGGATGAAGAGAAGGAAGGAAAGAAGAGAAGTAAAGAAAGAAGAATTTAAAAAGTCACAGGATTATTGTGTGAATTAAACGAAATAACTAGTCTAAAATTTTAGTTTTTAATTAGCCATTTAGCACTCTGAACTTCAGTTTCCTCTTGGAAAGATGGGAGTGAAAATGCTTCACCAAGTTCTCATGAAGATAGAATCAGATAATGAGTATGAAAGTGTTTTCGGACCTATGGTGCACATGCCAACTATAGCTATGAAATCCCTCCCATGAGGAAGTGACTTTAGAGTCCAAGTTCTGGATCTTATCACTCATTACAAAGAGGTGTCCAGATGACATTTCAAACTTGAGTAGGGTCAGAGACTTTCAAAATGCCAGAGCAACAAGGAATTACCTGGTCCCATTCTGTCATTCTCAAGATGAGGATAAGCCCAGAGAGGGAGAGTAACCTATGCGGAGACCTAAAGCTAATGACTGCCTTGGAGTGACCATATCTCAGGTAGCTCTAGTCCCAAACAAGGACTCTTTCCACTACTACCGAGAAGTTATTTCTCTGATCACATCATTTGCCAAGGTGCTACAAACTTCGATAGCTCTGGACTTGATCCTGGCTAATCATAAAAGCAGTGAAATAAGAAAGTTGAGAACATAGACAACATGGCCCAACCAGAATGTGAATTACTGAATCCTAATAGCTGTTTCTCTCCCACTCATCTCTTGATAGAATATGCACTTCTTGAAGGAGGAATCTCTATCTCATTCATCTTGGTATCTCCAGACTCCTGACTTAATATGAATTTGTTGATTGATGGATAGATAGATGAGTGGAAGGATGGTAGAAATTGGGCTTGGTTCACACATCTTAAACCACTGGACAATGAGTTATTATTGTTCAATCCAAAGACCAAAGAGCACTACAACTCTTGTTACTTCTTGCTTCTTACAAAGATAAGTGAAACAAGGACGGGGAGAGGTAAATTCTGCAGTTGACAATGAGGCCAGGTAATAAAATTTTCAACCATATAATTTTAGAGCCCAGTCACCAAGCAAAAAAAATAAAACATATAACCCCTGACATTCTTCCTTCTTTGATATGAAAGGTCCTAGAATTGGAAAATTGTCATTGGTTAAAAATGGAATTAGTACTGAGATTGTCTAAAGGTGGGGGTAGATATAGCGCGTTCTTTTGTTCTCCGGGGAGGTTTAAAACTCTTAGAAAAGGCATTCTTTATTTGGAGATGTCTTAAAACTAAATTGTCTCTTTGGATAAAACTTTAGTATGGCCTTCTAATCTCTGAGCCTACTATATATTTTATCACTGTCCCTGCTTTATCTCAAGTTTTCATAATCCCCTATATGGACTGGTGCCATAGTCTCCTCACAGTTTTCTCTGCCCCTTGTCTTTCCTTCTTCCATGTAACTTTTAAAATAGCCTCAAGACTGATCTTAAAAAAAAATGACCCCAATCTTCAACACCCCACACAACACCAAAAAAATATATATCAAATAAAGCCATACATGGGGTTTTCATTCTCTATGTATATCTTGATGTTCACTATGGCAGACCTTTGCAAATGTTATTTCCTCTTTCTGGAACGTCCTTTCATCTTTCCTTTATGTATAGAACTATTGCTCATCATTTGAAACAACTCCAATGTCATTTCTTTTATAATGTTTCTTGACTCCCCAAAGCCATGACTCAATACTCTATGTTCTGGCAGCACTTTAGACACACCCATCATCAGAGCTATCACGTGTTCTCTGATTATTTACATTCTTGTCTTCCACACAACCTATGAGTCCCTCCAGGAAAAGAAGTCTGTATCCCAGAAACAGGCACTGTATCCAGTGCATAGTTTTCATTTCACCTTGTTGATTAAGTAATTTAATTCCATGCATGCAAACATACACACACTCATGCATATTCATGCATACATATAAGTCTAACATATGTATATATTTACACTGCATTTTATAAATTGATTGGTTTCA